AAAAATGATTCCGTACTTTCTTTCTCTGGCGCCTTTCTTCTTTCCCTTTGAAAGATCGTTATCTCGATTGTAACTCACTGAATTGGTTAATTCTTACTATTTTACTTTATCTTGTCCGGTTTCGAACCTCGGAGCTGCGGATTGGTAACCGCCGACGCTGACCACTACGCCACGAGTTGCCTCCTACGTGAGGTCAGTCTGGTTCCAGTAGCATTCGTTTTACCAGACTCCGGACTCTTTCCTTCTGGTTTAGAGTGGCCAAGAGACCTACCGTTGATATAACGTTTAAAGTCTGCAGGCGTTTCTTACAAGCGAGCGCTTGAGTACAAATTATCTCAAGGTGATCAAAAATTTCATAGCCTGCTGCGTTAAAAATCCTAAAGCTTGCACGTCTAAGGTCATAGATGGGATGGATTAGAGTTAGATCATCTCGACACGTCTACACTGTGTCTAGTGCTAGACGTCTAAGTACATTGACAGGTAAGAAAAGAAATAGATCGTCTTGGGTCGTCTGTTTTCGACGAAACCTAGTCGTAGATGTCAAAAGATGTCTATTAGACATCTTTTATTGATCTACGTTTAGTCGTCTAAAAACGTAGACCAGCTAGACGGGCATTAGACGATCTATCGAAATCTATAGACGTCTATTTTCTCTTAGGGAGCCATTCTTAATATACGACTTTTAAATCTGAGGCCATCTTTTCACCTTCAAGCGCATTGCCTACCTCTTCAACGAATGGAGGGCTCGCGGCTATCAACTGGTCTGGAGTGCTTTTTAGCAAAAGATCTTCAACACTCTTGCCAGGAGTTATTTTAGAGAGATTCTTGATTAGTTGCTCTCCGAAATACTTAGGCTTATCCGTGTAAACGTCATAAGCAGCTCCACTCTTCATTATTGCGGCACGAAACAGACCTAAAACACGTTTCAAGGGTCAGTCGTATATCGATTTTTATCGATTCTATGCGTTTTTGACGCCATTTGAAATGGAAAGTGCAGTGACATTTTATCAGATGATTTGCTGGGCAATAGCGAAGCCTGCTACTCCGTCTAGTAGGAAAAAAAACTCAGCTCGATATAACTCGAGAATGAATTAAGCTAGCAAATTGAAATTTGTAGGGTCGCTTTGCACTATGAAACGGTAAATCGAAATCTAATATGAACACCCTAGCTCAATAATTGTATTTGAAAAAAAAAAGTACCAAAAAAACTTGGCTGAAAATATTTTTTTATTGTTTACTGTTAGGCAACTAGTCACAGTAGACTCTTTCGACTAAAACTTTGTCTGTGTGTGTTTTCCTCATTCTGTTATGGGGAAAAAAAAATTACAACCTTGCATGATGCTAAGTCGTAGAAATAGGTCTTAAATTGAAAGGATTAGAGATGACTCATCCCTCGCACGAGAGAAAAAGAAGAAGGAAACCCTCATTCTGAGTCAGAATATCACCTCGTTGTTGGGGGTCTAGGAGCACCAGAACTCGGAAAATCACATACGACATCGTTTTCTGCGTGAATTTAGCCAACATTTTTATAATGTTGCCTATAAAAAGGAGCATATGATTTCAATGTTCAGTATTTACTTGGTAAGCTAATGTACATTGCTGACGCATTGTCAGGATTTTTACCCTGTGATTCCATTAGTGAAATTAAAATGTATCAAGTGCATACTGTTATTTATCAATATGAGTTTCCAAAGGATTCCATCAATGCGACATTTACTAATTCTGAGCCTGTGTTAAAGCAGGTTATAAAATATTGTCATATTTGTTGGCCTCTCAAATCTTCAAGATCTTCAAGATCTTGACAGTATTGGAAACTAAGAAATGAACCGTTTGTAGACGATTCTCCTGTGTACTATCGTAATAGACTTGTGCATTCAGTAATTCGTAGGGTAAGGTGCCATATGATGGCCAGTCAAAGAGCACGCCTTCCCCTTTTCCTTCACCAAGTCTTAACTATACGTCACACGCCACAGCCGCACCAAAAAAAATTACATGTGTGCAGTAAAGGGTTAAAAGAACATGCTACTGTTCGAAAAGGCGGGAAAATCAAATTTATTCATGGAGCAAAAGTATATGAAAGAATCAGTTGATTTTGCCCCCCATTGATGGCCGCCCTCAAAATTACTGGTATTGACGTTTGTGAGTCGTCGCGTAATGGCTCGTACAGCAGTTACTTTGGCGTCCTTCTCTGCATTGTGGTGACCCTTTTGTGCCACACGTGCACTCTAAAGCACGCTGAATTCAATATCGGTGCCCGTCATTGCCCTGTCATTATCCTGGGATAGCTATCGTCGATTCCATTAGGTCCTCAACGATGGACCCAGGGTGACCCTCGTGGCGGGAAGCGACACCAGCATTGAAATAATCGTGCCTCAAAACCCTGTACACAATTTATTTGGTTCACACGGCGACGCGGGTGTCTCAAAACCGAAAACCACGTGTCGTTTCTCTCTCTGTTTGCAGCACGTGCCACGGCCATACGACCGCACCTCCCAGGTTGCCTACCGCACAGGGGTCCATCCACAACTCGCCACAACTGCCCCAACGCCAAAATATCAACATATATCTAGGTGGGTGGTCTGTCGCTGTACTGTAGAGCCTGAAACTGCGTCACCCGGGTTGCCTACCGCTCAGGGACCCAGCCACAACTCACCGCAACTGCCCCATCGCCGAAATACTTACATGTATGTATGTGGCTGATCTGCGGCTGTACTCTCTAGAGCCTACGACCGCGGCCCCCGGGTTGCCTAGTGTGTAGGGGGCCAGCCACAACTGCCCCAACGCCAAAATACTGTCATAATGGTGACTATCTTATATGAGCAATTTTTGCGCCCTCTACCACAAAAGAACCTATGCTGTCTAATCAAATCCCAGAACTACCTTCTGAACAAATTGCAGCTGACATCTTAAGCTTCAATAACAAATCACACTAGTGTGTTTTTGATATTTACAGTAACTGGCCTGACATAATTTGTGTGTATGATAGGACTGCTGAATCTGTTATTGCGGTGTTTCAAACGCTGTTTTCTGTACATGGTGTCCAAAGTGTGTATTTGCTGATACCATGCCATTTGCATCACAAACTTGCTCTAAATGTGCCTCGAAATGGGGATTTAAATTCATAACTTCTAGTCCAGATCATCAAAGATCCAATGGTCATGCTGGAAAGGCCTGTGGCATAGCTAGAAGTATTTTGGAGGAATGTAAAGTAGACCAAACAACATCATTAGAAAAGTGTTTACTAGAATATCAATCAATTCCTATTACTGATTTAGGGTATTCTCCAGCTCAAACGTTAATGAGCAGACGAATAAGAAATAGACAACCAGTGCAAACTTCATTGCTAAAACCTTTCGTAACTAATAATTTTAGAGATAAATTACTAGCAAAACAACAAAAATCCAAATTGTACTATGATAAGTCTTCGAAAAGAAAGGAATAGGTGTATGATAAATATGACTATGTCTATGTTCAAAATCCAAATACTAATCGCTAGGGGAGTGGAATACAGTAGGCGCTCGCTATAGTTCCGCCTCGGGTTCAGAATTGGAGTGGGTGAGTGGGGTCGCCAGAGGCGGAACTATAGCGAGCGTCTTCCCCCACTCTTTCTCTACCGCTCTCGCTCACACTGCTGGCCGGCTGGCAGCCCGGGGGGAAGGTGGTGGGGAGGAGGAAGGGAGGGGGGCCGCTTCTCGCTTGGAGTGGGGGAACCAGGCCTGGCGGGGAGGGAGCGCCGGCGGAACTATAGAGAGCGGAACTATAGCGAGCCCTCACTGTAGTTTTGGACAGGACTGATGAACCTCGATCATATCTTGTTCATAGTCTTTATATTATTGTTTATAGTCCTCTGATAAAAGATGTACCAAAAATTAATTTGCAACCTCAAGCAACCAACCTGCCCGCCTTAATCTGTGATGTTTCTTTTATGTGTTAAATTTTATTACATATTTTACTGTATCGTTAGTGTTAGTTTTAAGAAGGCAGGTGTTGTGTATCGAGTGTATTAATTTTGGTCACACTGTCAATAGGTTTACATGGATGCTTACTGCAAACAAACCTCAGTCATCGTGGAAACTGTGTGGGTCGTCACTTGCTCCCTGATCCAAGACACGGCATGAACAATACAAACGCCTTACCTTCCGTCTGAGGTAAAAGTGTAAGCCAGTGAACACTCATAGATCCAGCTGATTCGCCAACAATAGTAACTTTTTCTGGGTCGCCACCGAAACGTTGTATATTTCTGTTAACCCACTGTAAGGCAGCCAATTGGTCCTTGAGTCCTGCGTTTCCTGGAGCTATTTCATTCTGAAGATTAAGAAATCCTGCAAGATCAGAAAAGGGATAAACGCGTATTATTAACAATGTTGACACGTGCTTTTTAAAACTAGTTGACAGGTGAAACAGATACATCTGCAATAGTGAACTCAGAATGAAGGTAGATGTAGAGTTATGCAAACGTTGAAAATAAACGAAACGGGTGGTGCAAAACCTGCTAATCACTCCTAAAAGGGGGTACATGGGGATAACAAAGATAAAGAGGTTGGTCTAAAAAGTGGGATTATTTTTTTTAGTGTTTACTAAGGGGTAAGTCGTGAAAGTAGAGTCCTCTGGACTAAAATTTCGTCCGTTTGCCTCCTTCACCGTTGAGAGACCTTAAAACCTCAAAATAAAAAGGAAACTCTCCCCCCACCCCCAAAAAACGTTTTCTAAGCAGATGGGTGGGTTGTCGTCGCGGTGCTTCGCACCGTTACATCCTTTTCTCGAGTCTTTGTGGCAAACTCAAAGACTGCGGGTTTAAGCGGGCCGAAGGCCCGCTTCATCATTCGATCATGTTCTTCAGCAAATCGCGTGACAGAAATGGTCGGGCCGTCGGGACTCAGGCCCGACCATCGCCGCCGGCAGGCCAAGCAGGCCCGGCCCCTGCCGAACGGAGTTGCCAGCGGAGCGAAGCAGAGCTGGCCAGCGGAGCGAAGCAGAGCTGGCCAGCGGAGCGAAGCAGAGCTGGCAACTTCGTTTGGCGGAAGGGCGGGCCTGCTTGTTATCAGGCGTACACCTATGTCTGAGAAGTATGGTATGTCGTCGGTTCAAAATTTTCTTCAAAGCATGAGAGTGGGCTTATTTTATGGTGGCACATCATAAATAAAATGTGTACACTCTCATGCAAAATAGATCATTTATTTCGTTGTTTTGTTCCACATTACAGGCTGCTTTCTTTATCAGTAATTATAGCGAAATCATTGTGGACACTTTTGGAGTCATTTCGGAATACGCCTGGAAATATATATGCAACTTCTCCTGGGTCTAGTCGTTTGTTATTGGACCCATAAGCTTACATTAATAACTCAGAAGGGGCTTGGCATAACTTGCATATACTGTACAAACTGCGGCACTCGCAGCCACAGATGTTCAGCGTATGAAAACAATGCTTCGTTTGTTGAGTTTTGATTATGAAGTAGACAGTGAAGAAACCTGGCAAAAAGATGGTTTAAAGCGAGCCGTCACTCAAACGGGCCGAAGGCTCGTTTTCCAATAGAAGCTTCACTACACCATGAAAAATCAGAAGGAACGGGCCCCAGCCTAGGCCCGTTCTAAACGCCGCCGGCAGGCCTAGCTCGTCCCGCTTCCTGCCGAACCGAGTTGCCGGTGAAGCGAAGCGGAGCGCGCAACTTGGTTTGACGCAAGAGCGGACCAAGCTTGTTTTTGTTCAGGGGTGCATAACATCACACAAAAGTGTCCCTTAACGTTATTTTGACTGCCAAGAGGGCAGACTTGGACAAAGAATCGATTATTTTTCTAGTGTCCTAAGAGATTCTTTTTTTTCCATCTTATTCCAAAACCAGGTGTTGAAGTTCGAAAAAATGCCCTCTGGAGAGCGTAAAACGCGCACGGCCGAGCCGCCGAGCCGGGTGGCCGGGCGGGCGGCTTGGCCGCTCGGAATCACCCGGGCTCGACTGGCTGCTCAGGACAAGCTACGCGACGAGGAGATAGACCTCTATGCCTTCGAAATTTTTTGGGACCAGTAAGTTCTCCGGCTTTTGGTTCGTCGGCGTACATCAGTACCGAAAACTTTACACGCAAGTTTTGTCATTACTGCTTTCCATCACCGCGTTGTGCCGCCTCCTAGCCCCACTTTTCTACTGATGTCAAATTTATGATTACTCCGAAAAGATAATGCACTTGAACCAAATATCGCTGGAAAGAGAGAGGTTCAAGGAGTCTCGCGAGTCTCACGGTATTGGCCCAACTGCCGTTGTTCAATATCGAACTCCTGTTCAATTTCGATAAAAATGGGCGTTTGTGCTGTTTTTGACGAGAGATGTCTTTAGATGCAAACACAGCGGGAAATATAGACAGAGCGAAGTCGTCCACAGAGCGTGACTTTTTATACTATCATTAGCTTCATCAGAAGGGTACACATATCTTCTCCGCAATCTTCTCAGTCGGATGCCACCTAGAAGTGTTCCGCGAGGCTCGTATCACCTAGCTCCCTAGAGGCGATGCTCTAGAGTCGAATCGCGAGCGCACGGCGTAGGCTGGTGGCACCAACGTCCAAGGGGCTCCTTTACAGGTGCCGAAGTGAGCGCGCGGCCCACACTGTTAAATTCCTACAAAGCCTTCGCGATTCATAATAGTACGTCTTCATCTGCAGCGCGTGGTCATTTTCACCGCATTTTCAGCGTAAGTATCACCACGGTAAAAACGAAGTCCCATTTTTTGAGGGAAAAGGGAAAACTTTGAAGAAGTCAGTAAATTTGAGGGATCTTACTTGAAAAACTTTGAGGGTCGTTCTTCTTTTTCAAGAAAGATCCCTCAACGCACTGAAAAAAAATACTGTGGTGCTAAGGACAGCTGTAACACCCCCAAGAACATTTTGCTCTTGGATCGGCTTCAAGAACATGCGTTCTTGGAGCCTGTTCTTGAGCTATGTCGTTGGGTCTATAGACCGGACGTCACTGCGGCAGTGACATGTGTCTTTAGGGTGAGCCATTCTTGTAGTTAGTTGGAATCCGGACGTGCTTTCGCACTTGTCGTTGATTTCAGTACAGTGTTTGGTAATTTTTTTAAAAAAAATATTTAGTATCCGAGATCTAGAATAACATGAGCATTTAAATTTCATGGCGGCAATCAAAAGGTGCATTGGCGGGAGCCAGCGCAAGTTGGGCACTCTCTGACATGTTGTCAGAACGCGACGATTTGTCACCAAGCGCCAAAAATTCAGCCCCTGCACACCTGCCCGACAGGGTACGGCGCGCGCGACAGAGGCTTCAGAAAGGGGAGCGTCTGAGCAAGACAAGTAATGGAGACCACGACGAAAGAAATCAGCGAGAGCTAATGTTGAATGCCATCTAGCGGTGACTTCGGAAGCTGGCCAATCTTACAACATAGAGCCAAGCACTGCCTGCCGCCAGGGGAAGCACCATCGTGCGTCTCGGGCAGCGACATACTGTCCTTGGTCTATCGGCTTCTGTTATTGGTCTAACGTCAACCACCTACGACAAGGCACAGCAACACGCCTGTCCTTATCACCACAGTATTTTTTTTTCAGTGCGTTACTGACTTCCTCAAAGTTTCCCTTTTCCCTCAAAAAATGGGCCTTCGTTTTTACCGTGACTCCAGCGCCCAAACGGTGCAAGATAGAGCCAAACGGTCAAAGTTTAAGTCCGAAGGGTTCCACTTTGTCGAATTACATTTTAGAAAACCATAGAAAAAATGTGGGTTTTTTTCTTTTTTTTTTGACTAACACTTCTTTCTTTCTTACCCGCTTTCATCTTCTTAGAGATGGTTGCTAGGGCGTTTCGTTGTCCAGAAGTGACCCGTAAGACCCTTAAATTTATAACCTCAAGCTCATCTCCTTCCTTCCTTTAACAAGGACGACAGACGGACGGACACGTGGACGGTTGCATGGCCTGCTTTAATGTTTTTTGAAAAGCAAAAAAGGGGTCTAGAAAGATTTAAATCCATGCTGCATCCATGTGTGGCAGTGATCAGTGGGGACTGTAGAGCTTAGCACAACTTTAAGAGGCGCGGCGCTGCTTTGCGAGTGGCCACTGTATTTCATAGCTGTGTTGGTTATTTTTTCTTTTTAAGTTTACGCCACTAGAATTGTGATTTTTACTTACCAAAAACCCCAAGGCGATACTCGAATCCCACATGGATAACATCATTGTGGACGAAGAAATCGCCACCACTGTACTGATTAGTGAAAACAACAAAACCCCCGCCGTGGATGTAGAATTGAACTGGCAGCAGGTCCTGAAAAAAAAATCAATAGGAAAACATTTTGACATTCAAATTCAGATTTGTTTTTTATTTTTCCACAGAGATACAAATGATAGAAATGTACATTAGTAGAAAAAGGTCAAGAAAAAGACAGGGTAAAAGTTAAAATAACAGTAGTTAAAGTACAAATAAAATACAAGTACCAGAAAAAAAAAGCAGAATTACATAATATGTTACAATAACAGTCTTTCATGTAAGAACTCCTCCATGTTGTAGTATTCTTTAATCACTAATAAAATTTTGAAGGATCTTTTAGAAGATTGCATGGAGTTTTTCTCTTTTATATCTGAAGGGATCAAAAATATACGAGCATCTACTCTTTACATGACCTTTGGAGGAATGTTCAGTGAATATTTACTACCATTTATAGTCTAGTAACTATGTACTTTTTTACAGGTCACATCTCTTAGGTGTCTTCTTCAAAATAGATGAAAAGTATAGATACAAAGCCGTCAGTATGACTATATTTGCTTATCTAAAAAGACCCCTACATGATACTGTACTATCCTTAATACCATATAGGAGTGTTAGTGCCCTTTTTTCGTCTAAAAAGTTTCAACAATAAGCCTTTTTGATTGTCTTCATGCCCCACACAATAATTCCAAAGTTCAAAACATAATGAATAAATACGTTACAAACAAGGAAGCATTCTTTTTTGTTTAGTGATTGTATCATTTGCAAAAGTACTAACATTTCTCTATTTACTTGTTTTCCTGAATAGGATATGAAGACAACCTTTATAGCTAATGTGAACTCCTAGGAATTTAGTTTCTTTCTTTAGGACAATTGCTTTTCCCAGCCAGAAATGCATCGTCGAAATTTGGTAGATTTCATCTCTTGACGCGAAATCGACGTCGATTGATGGATTTTTGTAACCTACGAATTGTCGACTTCGACGTTGATTTGACGTCGTTTCGAGTATGCATTTCTGGCTGGGTTTTCTGTTAATAATTAGTTTGAGGTCACATTTTTTATTTGTAAAACATTCGTTTCATTCAAATTTAATGCTAGGTTTAATGCCGAGCAGACGCTATAAATCTGTGGCGTTCAGTGGAAGTGACGTAAGTCGCAAAATAATTTTTTTTCAGGAAATGAATAAAACGATTCCTATAATCTGGTTGCCACACTAATGTAAATAAGGGGAGGTTCTTATACTACATAGTTCATTTTGGGGGAGGAGGGGGGGTTCAGCCTTGCACTACGGTCGGTCACGGAGGGGGGATGGGCGCTGGTCACGTACTATTCTTCAAATTCCGGTTTTGTTGCACCACCAAAATACCGCGTCGTTTCCTCTAATCCGTTCAGGTGCTCCCCTTTGGACCAAAAGTTTGTCCGTTTGGCATTTTTTTACCGTTTGGGAGCTAGAGTGGGTTTTTCGACGAAAATACGGTGAAAATGACTACGCTGTATACATAAAGACGTACAGGAGGCGTCAAATTGGAAAATGACAGAGGAAGTACCACCCCTGAAATAGCACATTCCAAATCGACAATTGTCTTCGGATGCACCGTATCTTAAACATTTCTGAAGCTATTCTAGGTTTACTGTTGATCCTGTTCCTAAAAAAAAAAAAAAAAAAAATGGTAAAACAATTTGCAGAAGAAAATAAATAGTTGAAATTCTTTCCTCCCTATTTGCTGATGTAAAACATGTCTCGTATTTTAACTCAAAAAGTCACAAACCGTCGTTTCCTAGCTTGAGCGCCATTTTTCAGGCGGAAATGAGGAAAATATCGGCAAA